ACTTATTTTTCAAAACATAGGGTGCCAATTGAGTACTAAGCTTTTTAACTAGCTGTGAAATATTTCTTTAAAACAGTGTGAACTACCCCCAAAATGATGCCCATTAAATCTGCTATGTGTCTGAAAGTCAATCAAACATCATCGGTGATAATTTTTCGAATTTTGGCAAACACTACATTGGTTGATGTGAATCCTAGTCGCCAAAGACGGTACCCTTTTTTAATGCCCATAATTTCTGTTCATTGAAATCCACTTGCTCAAGAATGCGTCTATAAAACAGATATTGGTTGCTGTAAATTTCCCATATTTCAGTGAATATTTAATTTCTTTGGGATTCTAAACAAGTTTTACAGAAGCTTTAATGAAGCGTTTAATTTCACTCTAGTTTACTGATTCTTTACCATTTGTTTTTAATGCAGTGTCTCGAATAACCCTTGTTTTCCAGCTTCTCATAATGAAACTATGCGATGAAAAGTGGTCACATTTACTGTTATCAATTCATTAAAGATTAAAGCATTCGAGAAATTCAAGCTTAATGACATATGATTGCTATAGTGTATGTCATAGAGCTCAGGACATTATTCATTGAACAGCCCTCGTATATAATTTATTTAAGGAAGACCCAATGGCATACTTTTACGGATCCGGTTTTTATTTTACACACCAATATGAAACTCTGATTATCACTTCTCTATTGAAATAAGATCTGTTTTTGGATGATTGAAAAAAAATTTAGCAAGTGTATATTTGCTAATTATAGTGTCATTGTACATACAACGCATTTAATATACATTATTTATGGAAATAAACACTTTGCATTCTGTTGAAAGAATCTGTATGTCATTAAATACATACACAAAAACAAAAGTCTTAATTGCCTATATGGAACTAAAGCTTTTTAATTTTATTTAACAAACTACCTTGAGATTTATTTGTATTGATCTTAAGCCTTTATCATTTTTTTACTTTTTTTTCAAATTTTGCAAAGAACGATTGAAAAAAAATTGATATTCCAAAAATGGGGGTATACATGTTCAAAAAGCTGTTTTGTTAAATTTATCTGGTCAACGATAATAAGTTATGTGTTTTTTGTTAAACTTAGATATAATTCTTAATAGTTTTAAAGACAAAATGGCATGTAAACAGTTTAGATTTTGAGAATTTTTTTAAAAATGAAGATATTTCGAGATATTTTTTCTGAAAGACGTGGACAGATTCATTATCAATTTGTTAATGTTTTCCAATAAATGTTTCAAATATCCTCTTGGCAAATGAATATTTATGATTAAGTTTAAACATAAAATTTATGTGATCTGGTTCAAAGCTAAATAACATATGATATCACACTTCTTGATGTTCAATTTTGGCTGTTGAATTTTTAGAGGTATGTACTCTGAGACATGTTGTATGAAAATTAATCTGCAAAGGTATGTATATCTTTAATGGGTGTTTTAGTTAGTTCACGACTTTTTCAAGGTAATAAAATTAAAAAATTAACAGTTTGACAGAAAATTCTGAAAGTAGGGACCTAACCTACCTTAAGAATAGATTTTCACGAAACTATGCATACACACTAAAGTTGTTGACGGCTATAGCATATTGTATTTACTGAATAGAGTTTCTATTTGGTAGTTCCTGCAGAAATAAAACCTAGTCGGTTCTCTTACTGGAGAACAAACTTTTAAAGAGAATTTTATCTAAAAACAAAAAATGCTCAAAAATTGAAATAGATTAACAATTAGATGCAATTTTATCAAAATACAATTAAGTTACTTATAAATTTCGGAATGATCTCTCTTAGTCCAAATATGCTTACATACATTGCTTTTGTTGCAACGTGAATTTCTGAGGGTATTATGAACTTTATGAATTATATAACAAAAGTACAGAAGCAAACATCTACGTATATATAATTTCACTGAGGTGTTCACACAAAATAGTGTTGAATCCACAGTAAATTCAGACATTGTTAAGTAGATGGACACGTAAACTAATACGTTACTTTCTAAATCTTTGTCACCTATTCCGAACTTGTTATTTTAAAAAATGTCATAGAAAATTATTCACCAAAAAATTTCCTAGTATTTAGATCCCTTGAATATAACATGTTACTAATAATATTGAACAAACAAATGTAAAGAATTGTGGTTCTCCGCTTTTGGTGTCTTTGTGGGTAAGATGTCATTTTTTATGGAATATTGTGTTGAATATGAACGCCCTAACGTGCGTCATTCAGAAGTTATCATCGAAGTTGATTTGATTTTTTTTTAAATAACGTCAAATTTCAAGGTCACGAGGTCAAAACTCATGGTGTATTTAGAAAGGTCTTGTTACAGATAATATATATCCTTATTTAGAAGCCCTATCTCTTCTCATTCAAAAGTTATGGCTAATTAAAAGAAATGTTTAATATGTTAATAGAATGTTAAACTTCAAGGTCAGGGTCACGGGGTCAAAAATCATTGTTTATTAAGAAAGGTCCTGTCACAGGCATTTCACAGGTCTAATATGATAGCCCTATTTCTACTCATTTAAACGTCATGACCAAGGTTAAAGTTTTTGACAAGTAGGTCAAACTTCAAGGACATAAGTTCAAAAATCATAATGTATCTATAAAGGTTGTATCACAGATAAAACATCTTTAATATGAAAGCCCCATCTCTTCTCATTCAAAAGTTATGGTTAATTTGAAGTAATGTTAAATTTTTGAAAAAGTAGGCCAAACTTCAAGGTCACAGGGTCAAAAATCATAGAAATGACTCGTCACAGGCAAAATATAAGTTTAATATGAAAGGCCTATATTTAGGTCAAATGCCATGGTCAATGTCACGAGGTCAAAACGTTTAGTGTTTTTAGAAAGGTCTTGTCACAGGTAATATACCTGTGTAATGTGGAAGCCCTATCTCTTCTCATTCAAAAGATATGACCAAGGTGTTGTGGTTTTTGTGACGGACGGACTGACTGACAGAATTAAACACTGACAGACGGACATACGAATGGGATTTAATGTCCCCTCACTTTCGTGAAAGCGGGGGACAATGAAACTACAGACGGACAGACGAATGAGATTTAATGTCTCCTCGCTTTCGCGAAAGCGGAGTGCAATAGTGCTTGCAATCTGTATAGAGAAGACGAAAGCATTTAAGCTTCATAATATGTTTAAGACATTTTAACGAGGTTGGATCTTGATATTTAAGGTCTTAAACTGTTTGTCAAATAAATGTTTAGTTTCTACACACATACCTTAATTAATGAAAATTAAAACAAAAAATTGGGGTTAATATGATTCTTTCGGCGCTACAGTACATTTAATATGACCTTTTTGCACTGAAATTTGTATCATAATGAAAAATCATCACATCTTCGATGTTTTCCCTCCAATATCTTTATCCAAATAAATAATGGGACAAAATAAACCATTTTTCCATTTGAAAAAAGACACATGAGAATTGTGACTACACAAATTTCAAATTGCTTCTCATAATCAATTATTTGACCTTTCCGCACTCACAAAATGTGATTTTTTAAGCATTTAACAATCAAGAAAAGTATTTTAAACTCTTACGCTTTTGCTGATTTTAAGTAGACTGATCAAAGTTATCTTTATATATTCAGTAAAGAAATAATTAAATGGATATTTCAGAGTCAGTATAAAACATTTCACTGTAACAAAAAAAAAAACAAAAAAAAAAAAACAGCTATGTGTGCAATCAGCCTGGAAAAATAGAAATCTAAACTTAACGGTACATTATATCTTTCAAAAGGGAAAAATTGATAATTTTCTTCTAAAAAAAAATCTTTGGCCGCAAAATATAGTTCTTTGTTTAATTCTATTTGAATGGAATTTAACTGCGTTTTTTTTTTTTTTTTACATTGGATATAGTTTAATTTGCATAGTAGAATCCAGATTTAATGTAAGAATTCAAAAATGATGCAGAATTTTAGAAAAATAGGTCCAGACCAAAAGCTGCTCAAAAGCTCAGAATCTCCTTAAGGCACGTCGAATAAAAGTTTTGAAATATTCTTTTACCCCCGTAAACAAGTTTCGGGGGTATATAGTTTTTATCCTCACCGCCCGTCTGTCTGTCTGTTGTCCGCAATTTAAATACTTAAACCTTGCCCATAACTTTGACTTGGTGGGGCTATGCCTTTCATATTTGACAGACATATTCCAAGTGACAAGATTTTTCTTTGGGTATCACCGAATTTGATCTCTTGACCATGACCTTGGAGTCGACCTTCTATTACCAAACTGAGAAAATACCACACTTTTACCTTAGCTAAACCTTGAACAGTTTGAATTAGGGCTGTCTTACTTCACATGTGTATTCATTGTGATAAGACATTTCAGGGGGTATAAATATTTTTGACTATGACCTTAGAGTGTCTCCAATCTAATTAAAATTAGATCTTTGATCCGCTCCAGCTTGATCGCTACACTTTGTGTAGCGATCAAACTGGAGCGGATCAAAGATCTAATTTTAATTAGATTGTATATTTTCAATGTTGAACCAACTAAGTTCTTCTTTCATACCAGGCACACCTCTACCAAGGGTCATTGATTTCAATTGCTCAACTTTTTGAAAACTTTAACCTTTGACATAACTTTTGAACAGTTGGAACTAGGGCTTTCATATCTCACAGGTTTGTCACTTGTAACAAGAACTTTCTTTTGGATACCAACACTTTTGGTCTTTTGACCTTGACCTTTGGAGTTTGACGTGCATTTCAGAAAATTCAAACCTCGCCATAAGCTGCCATACGGGGGCATCACTGTTTCACAAACACAACTTGCTTTATATCACTCCCATTTGTAATATATTTTTTATAATTACCATGAATTCTTTATCTGCTGATAAGGTTTGTTGTTTTGTTTATTTACTTTTGCTAGGAATAATAAACCTTTTAAAAATATGAGGTTGGAGCAGTCGATGAATGTCAATTATTTGTTTACAGTAAGAGATAACGTGGAAGCATCTGAAATAATAATCCCTCCCGAGCTCTTACTTCAGTGTGAGCCAGCTGCATGTAAAAGCTACTGTTGCCACACAAAATACCCCCAGTATACTGCAGTTTTGATTAGAATTTGTTTTAACATTGGCCATTTTATATCTAGGATATGTAATCCGAACCGTAAAAAAGGAGATATTCATAATCAGTGGATATAGCAGAGCGGCTTATTTTAATGTTTTAACGCAATGTGTGTAATTTGGGAATTGATTCCCTGTGATAATAAGGTGAAGACACCAGTTGTCCTTTCTTTCTGTGGTAGGATGTGATGGTGTACCTGGCATGACGAGCAGTAGTTATATATTGATTCTCCCACTCACAAATGACCAACTTTGGGCTCTCTCCTACTTAGTGTGCTATAATGTGATTTTTTACAAGAGCTTGACTAAGTCTCTTTGTGGAGTATGGAACATATTCTTCATACCTCCGGAAATTCAACAAACTTTAAATTGCACAATATAGTTTCTGAGCACTGGATGCCATATGAGGAGGTTTCAGAAGAAGTTCACTTGGTGCTCGGTGTGGTTGCGACATTAGTGGGAATAATTTCTCTAACTTCCAATGGCTTTATAATCTGGATGTTTTACAGGTAGGGGATTCATTTAAATTATAAAGAATGAAATTGGAACCAGATTTAATAATGAAATTAAAAGTTAAATACTCGCGCTTATTATTATAGCAACGATTATAATTAGGGTAATTAATTTAAAAAAAAACTTTTTTGATATTAAAATTTAATTTTAATTAAAATTTGATTTCATTATGCACAGCTATGTTTCATTGTTTAAAAAATTAAAATTAAAATCTTTTTTTTAATAAAAAAAAAAAGCTGCAGTTGCATGGAATCAAAATTGGAATTTTATTTTTCTTTTTTTAAAAAATCAAAACTTGAAGAGAGTATTTATCTCCAAAAATTCAGAGCTGGGATCAGGCGCCATGGAGGAGTAAAATAAAAAAAAAAGTAAAATTTATTTTAAAAAATTGGATTTAATTAACAACAGAGACAAAAAAAACCCACTTGATACATATCAAACAATATATAACAACATTTTAGTGTTTAGTGTAAACGATAAAAGTTTATAAGAATCTGGCAATTAGGGTTTTTCTGATGGGGTAACTTGGATGCTCATTCTTTGGGTCTAGATGACACACGGCCTTTAAGAATAAAAAGCACGAGTGGGAAATAAGCGAGTTTATCACAGCAAACACGATAAAGCAATGGCAGCATGCATGGAGAGTAATCTTGTCTACGATGATAACTTGCAAGAAAGAAAAGACAAGGGTAAAACTCTAGAATGACAATGCCCCTTTTTTAAGCAGAGACTGGTACTCGAACTGCTATTCCCAGAACTCAAAAGCTATCGTATTGACATCTCTTTTAGAACTTGTGTCCTCTTTTCAACCTATTGTCCCTAGTTTTCTCTTTCCGATCCATCAGTTTGTTGCTTTAGCCTTCAGGCTTCCTATTTCCTATATTCATCGTCCTTAATCCTTCAGTTGATCACCATGGCTTTGGAACCGGGGGTGGGGTGGGGGGCAAGGTCGTGCCCACAATGTCTTTGCCTATGTAAAGTATATAACTTTCAAAATCATAGCCACTTTATGCTTGTGTCCTCTTAATAAATCTTCTTCAGATCTTTTTTTTTGGTTAAGAAAATTTTGCTTGGTTGTATATCCAATCCCAAATGACAAAATTTCTGATTTAGCATCCCAAATGAAATTGTTTACCACGGGCCTGAAAATCGTCACCACTTCTCCTTATCGCCCTTGATGGTTTAATTTGATGCCCTCGATTTCTCACCGTACTTCAGTTCGTCACCCTTTCCTTCTCGCTGTCCTGTCTCCCACTATGTATCTCTCTCCCATCCTCTGAGGTCACATTGCAACAAACCAGTCTCCCAATAGTAGTTCGTATACATGTAATCATATGCCATGTTTATAGACGCTCATTTGGTGACAAATTCGACGGCAAACAAAGTTTGGTTTGGAAAAAAAGGTCATCATTATGACGAATATATTTTTTACTTACCCACTGCTTCACCATCCTTTTAAACCGCACTTGTCATCATTATGATAACTTGATATCAACATATCACTTTCAGATATGTCATAATATTATATGTATATAGAGTGAGATAGTGCTAAAATCAATCACAACTGATGATCATTGCACAAAAATCGAAGTTTCTACAGTCGACATTCATTTATTTAACCATTTCATTTAGAAATAAAAATAATAAGAGATTGATCACATTACCTTTTTATCTCCGAGTTGGCAGTATTCCAACATTAACTGATACCATGACGTTTTTTTTCAAAAAGTCTTTTTATATTAGGTGTTATAATATAAATTATTATAATTCTTTGGTAGTTGATAAGATTTATTTTTAAGATTGGCATATCTGGTCGCGGTGACATATGACAAATTTGTGAGCGGCCAACAGCTCGCCTCCCAAACAATCAACAACAGATTTGGCGACCCAAAGCTGGGTAAAGTTTACGAATGCACAACGCCACGCAATATGGATGCAATGGGCCAATATCCCATTACCAACGTTATCAAAGTCAAATGAATGGGCCAATATCCCATCAACAATGTCACAATGTCAAATCAATACAATATGATTCAATGGGCAAATATCCCATTAACAATATTAGCAATGTCAAATACAATTGTTCAATGGGCTAATAAGTATCCAATGAACATACAGCTCATCGCACAAATTAAGGTCACATTTTTCTTTCAATAAAACTTAAAATTATGGAGCTTTAGTACGAGACATAACCTTATATTATTAAATATTTCATGTTAAAGGTGCATAGTCTCTAAAATCGTTACATGTATCTGAAGATTTGAAACTCGATATTTCAAAAGAGAATGTTTATAAATTGTATGATGTTACATGGGTATGATTCTACCATAGGTATTCACAAATTAATCGAACTTTCTTGGATACTTTTTAGTTGAAATGTTCAAATTGACTTCTTAGAGATGAGCATTTTTCTAAGTACTTTGCAAATTTTCAGTACTTGTCTTAGTTTTGTCGAAATGCTGCGCCGAAAAATGACAAAACCGCAAAAAAGAAATCATGTCAAAGGATAGGATAATAAAGCATTGTTTATCTTTCAAAATAGTAAACTGTTACTATTGAAAAGAAAATTCTTTTACATTCATGATCTGAAACTTTGAAATTTTGCATTGGAACGTATTGATATCTTTCTTTGATGCTAGATTTCAGAAAGTTAACCTGAAAAGATGCCATCTTTTAACACGGAAACCATTCGAACAGATTAGAGATACTTCTATGACATCTTGCGCCTTAGTGTCATATTAATGTACAGAAAAAATACAAAAGTTACTTGAAAGTTGAAATGCATTGTTTCTGTATTTAGGCAAGTCAAAGGTATGCTTTAAAATGAACGGATTCAAAGACGGCTGCATTTGACGAGAAACTAAAACCATGAAAAAACCATTTTGGAACTGTCATAATCTATCATCCAAGAGCATATAAAAATCCTACCAATTAATATGTGTGAATTATAATTAAAGTTATGGAATAAGATCAAAATTAAGTTATAAATCACTATTAAAATATATTTTGTTGTCGCGTTACACAAGCTTGTATTTTAACAATGTGACCTTAATTTGTGCGAATACCACGGGAGTTAAAAAATGTGCGTTGAGCTGTATATCCAGGGAATATCACTGTTGAAATTCGATTAATCAGTGTTAAAAATAATTTTTTCACCAGCACTTGTTCATATGAGGTGAATCGAGTTGGCGATAACGCCACATGCACGCAAGAGCATCCAACAATGGTCACATAAATTGATGACGGCGTCGCTAGCCCACCTCAGTCATTTCTGACCAGCGCCATGTTTTTGTCTTAGCCATTCAAGTAGCTATAGTCATGATAAAATCTACTCTTTTAACTCACATCGTTTACTTTCCTTAATTATTATGAATAATTCTTGCAAGTCAGAACGCCTGAATTTTACCAGAAATATTTTTGTTGCCGTTACTCTGAACCGAGGCATAATGATGCCGGGACCAGAAGGTTGAATTTACTTACATGAGAGCCTTGATATCGAGAAAGGGTATTGGATACATTTCAAAAATCACATTATATATTTCCAGGGAAAATATTTCCTTTTTATGACATTTGCATAGACAAGTGAAAATATACCTACAACCTTTTTCATGCACCTAAAATATTTTTGTAATTTCTTTGAACAATTCTATTACGGTATCACATCCATATGAGCAAGCTAAATTAAATGATTTTTGTCCAAGGATTCTGACAAAAGGGGGTAGGGGGTAGGAATGTAAAACTGATATGAGTCGCACTTTTTTCCAATTTCAAATATCTGGAATTTAATAATGGACTACTTGTACTATCCCTATAAACCAAGTACCGTATCATGATTTAAACACTTCGAATTATATGACATGCATATAAATTAATGGGTGGTTACATGTAAGTACATGTAAGATTACTTGTTTTCATGATTTTCCTGACTTTTGAAAGGGCAAAAAAGGGACCATAACACTGCAGTGGTTATAAATTCAATCCTGGTATGTTAGCACAGTGATCTAATTATGAACAGGTGTGGATTGTACCTACAGATAAATTTTTCACCTTAAATCGTCTGTCTACTAGTTTTGTATGCATGATACAATTAATTCAACTGAGAGATGTGCATAGCGAGAACACTTAAATAAAGGATAAATAAAGGTTTTATAAATGTATTGATTCTCAGCATAAACTTCTACAGGCCATATTTTTAATTGATGTATTTTTGCAAAAATCTATTTTATAAATTACTGTTTACCTTTAGGTTTTATATAGATAAAATACTTTTAATAAAACATGAAAAAGGTCCTGTATGCTAAAGGGAACTAAATATAATATTTATTGGATAATTAAAGGATTTATGAACTAAATGCTTGATTCACTTGGATGAATTTTATATTTTTAAAGTGTGTACTTTTTATGGTTACTGTAAAACACTTTTTATTCGCTAAACTTTATTTTCGCGCAATTAAAACCAAAATTAAATTTTAAAAATAAAAGTATTCATTACGATTATATAGCGGAATAACAACTATTACTGAAAATTATGTCTCGCTTACAAATAGTCAATGACAATCTCGCGAAAATAAGTAATTTAGTGATTAACAGTACCTATTTTATGGTCATGGAAATGGGTGTATACTATGGTGGCATATTTCTGCCCCCTTAAGTTATATATATTTTTTCAGTACCTTGCAAGACAGACTTGAAAAAAGGAATTATTAAATGAATCTTTAAGAAGAATTTCAGTAGAATATTTTATATAAAACTTTTAAATGTTTCTATTTGCTTATCAATAAAGTGAAAAAAAAGAATGGTTGCATGTTTTCTAAAATACCCTGTACATATAAATATATTACTACTATTTCAAACATGATATAAAAATCATTATGATTAAAGAATAGAGATAATGATGTAATTTCATATTTTTTTTTCAATCAGTTTTGAAGGACTGGAGTACACATCTAATACATACATGTTTAATAGCTATTTTTTCTGTTTTCATATTCAGATT